ATCACAAAGGGAAAAGTAGTAACTGTACAATGGAAAAGAACAGTGGAAACCTCCTGAATCAAATGGTCAAATTTAACATCATCAGTAATGAGACAAGTCAAAATCATGCTACTATCTACAGATAAACTATGAAGTCAGTTACCAAGATGATTCTCACCTTTTAGTATTTATGTGCTTAGGTATTCTTTTCCCATACCAAGTGCTGCTGATGTGGATAGTCAACAAGAAGCTACAGTAATGATGGTATGTGACTTCTGATGCTACATCATAAAAGTCATCGTGCCAGGTGCGGTGGCACACTCCTGTAATCCCAGGGGCTCAGGAGGCTAAAACAGGAGGATCATGAATTCAAAGCCTGCCTCAGTAATGGTGAGACACTAAGCAACTCAGTGAGACCCTGTCTCTAAATAAAATACAAATAGGGCTGGGGATGTGGATCAGTGGCCAAGTGCCCCTGAGTTCAATCCTGGTACGAAAAAAAAAAAAAAGTCATCACACATTTGGGGAGCCAGTTGCCATGTTGTAAGAACACTCAAGCAGCCCTAGAAAGAGGACCACATGATGAGGACATGCTTTTTCTGCCAGCGTCCATCACTAATTGCCAGCTATATGAGTGAGCCCTCCTCAAAAGTACATCATCTAGTTCCTGTGAAGCTTTCAGATGACTACTGGCCTGAGCAACATTTTGACTACAGTCTCATGGAAGAACCAATCAGCTAAGCTTTTCCTGATGAACAGAAACTGTGTGAAATAATACTGTTTTCAACTACTACTAAGTTTTGAGATTTGATATAGCAATGGACAGTTCATTGCATAGAATCCAGCACACTTTCTGAGATATTTCTGTCCAAGATGCATAGCCAAATCTAGTATTAATGAAACACAAAACAAACACAGATTGAGGGGCATTTTGCAAAATAACTACCCTGCAGTCTTTGATAATCAGAGTTGAAGTCATATAAGTTAAAGACAGGCTGAAACTCTGTCCTAGAGTGAAGGAGACTAGAGAAGCGACACATTTCCATGCGGTGCCTGATTCTGAACTGGATCATTTTGTTTATAAAGGTTATTGCCTGGCAAAGTTTACAGACAGAAGATTAGATGATAATAAAGTATCACTGAGAAATTTTAAATTTTATGGTTGTGTAGAGTTATACAGTTAGATGCATTTGTTTCTGGGAAATCACACTGAAATTTCTGGGTATTAAAGCATCAAGACAGTAACATTCTTCTCTTAAATGGTTACAGAGAAAAATGGTTATTTATACTGTAATTGCAACGTTTCTGTAAGTTTGAGATTATTTAAAACTGTTTGAATTATGCAAAAAGGAAAAATAATATAGAATATGCTGTAACTATAAAATCAGACCCATATTGTCCTTTTTTAAAGGGATGCACAGTACTCTGGCTTTTGTAAGTTTAAAAATATGTATTTTTGTTACCAATCTCCTATTGATGGGCATTTAAATTGCTTCCAGTTCTTTGCTATTATAAACATTTAGTTCTTTGTTGTCAATGCTGTTAAATATTCTTATAAACATTTTGGTTCCCTGGTTCAGTTTTTGCCCAAGAGTAAATCCCCAGAAGTCAAAATAGCTGTGAATGGATATGCATCCTTTAATCAATTTAATCATAAATCATACTAGAAAACCACATAAAATCTGCTTAGAAGAAAATGAAATTCATAATTTGTTAGTTATTTTTTGTTTTTCCCCACTAGAAAATAATTTCTGTAGGAGTAAGAACTTTATCTCTCTTGATTATCACCACCCCTAGCATTCAGGCACTCAATATGTATATATTGCCACAATGATAACAGCAATCATTTATTACATGCCTGATGCTATTCTAAGGATATTAAATCAGCTATTCCTGGCAATGGTCTTTATGAGGTAGGTAGTATGATTCTTTCTGTTTTGCACAGGTACTTTCCTTCAGTTTATAAGTAGCTATTATGCTATACTGGTTTACTTTTGCTAAGTAAATTAATCTATAAATGAGTTAATGACCAATATATTTATTTGAGTCTTTAACCAATTTCACATTTCACCTAACTTTTGTTTTTGATTTTTCCTTTTTAAATGAAAATTAGAGGGAACAGATTGCTCACTTTGCAAAAGCCAAATTGGTTTTACGCTTCCCTGGACTAACCTGTACTTAGTACCTTTTTAATAATGCTGCACCAAGAATTAACATCCACATGGGTATCTATAAATCATTCTCCCCTGAAGAATTTACAGAGATGTAAACAATATTTGCTTTGTATTATCAGTAAAATAGTAAATCTGGGCCTGTAACTTGAATCTAGGAGGCAAACCTCTTATTACTTGTTTTTCAAACACATACTCTTGCTCTCAACTTTGCCCTGCTGTGCCCTGTACCTGGCATGCTCATTGTCCACCTCCTGCAGTAGAAACTGTAAGGGTCCTCCAAGGCCCTGCTCAATGGCCACTGTTCTATTGAAGACTGCTTTTATCCTTTTCTTTTTTCTTACTCTCTCTTGAAGTTTCTTTTCTTCCTTAAAATTCCCAGAGTCCTTTTTAAAGTACTCCTCTAGGAGAGTACTTTCTTTCTTTCTTTTTTAATTCTAATTTGTTATGTATGACAGCAGAATGCATTACAAATCATATTACACCTTTAGAGCACAAATATCTCTGGCTGTACACAAAGTAGAGTCAGACCATTCGTGTCTTCATACATCTACATAGGGTAATGATTTCCATCTCATTCCACCATCTTTTTGTAGGAGAGTACTTTCTAAACATATCTCATATTAATTGTGCAATGTTCCCCTCTCTTAGTGGACTATATTCCCTTTTAGTTTTATTGATCTTATAAAACCTCAGTATATATCACATTATTTTACATCAAATATGAAATTAAGTTTTTTGAATGAGTCAATGAGTGATCTCATGAGAACATATTTTAAAATCTTAAATGATAGATAAGATTTTTGAACATTATGTATTCTGCATCATCAGGAATTAAAACAAATGGAATAGACATATTTTCATATGATGGAGTTATATTTTGTCTTTATAAGGCATCAAGAAATAAGAATGATAATTACCTTTCCTTTCTATAATAAAAGGTATTCTATTCATGGTGACAAATATCAACCTTGCTTCTATCCAGAACTTCAATTCCCTTTTCTTTAAGTGGATGGTTCAGGGACATCAAAGGTAGTAAATCAATCAAAGAGAGAAGAGATGTCCCCCTTCCCCCAAAGGCTAGTACTGAAGGGTGTGCTTCTGTTAGAGAATTTTAATAATAAATTTGTTTTCAAGTGTTTGTATAATGCCAAATCTTCTTGCCAATTGGAGGAAGGACTGTTCTGAATGAAATTATAAAATATAATTCTTTTCTCACATTTATATGTGTAAAAAAAAAACAGAATTGGAGGATGTTAAGTATTGTCATTCAACAAGATTCTACTTTGTTTGGAGCAAAAGCAATAGCACAGCTGTTAGGCCCTTTGTTTCTCTTCCCCCTAGAGTTCTTTTCCTTTACCCACAGGATAAAGACAGAGCTGAGGGTTTGTGTTGTTGAAAGCTCAAATAGCAAGCCAAAGAGAAAGTTCAAACAAGTAATATCAGTCTTTTAAAAATGTCATTGCTTATGTAAATTAACTGGGGTCCTTGGTTTCTTGTGAACCTCAAGCATCTTTGAATTGGTTGGATATTAAATTATGTTTTTTAATACTTTTAAGTAATTTATTTACTTTTATGTCATGCTGAGGATCAAATACGTACTAGGCAAGCACTTTACCACTGAGCCACCTCCCCAGCCCCATAAATTATGTTTAATTTGCATTTGGTGTATGTTATGTTTCTTCTATGTGGAAAGTACTGACCATAAGATAAATTTAAGATTAGTTAGTGCTTTTTGGTTCTCTCTCTCTCTCTCTCTCTCTCTCTCTCTCTCTCGTTTAGGTTCATTATGCTGTAATTTCCAGAGGATAATTTAGAGACTAATATACTTGAGCACTTCTATATGATCTTACTGTTTTTTTTTTTGTTGTTTGTTTGTTTTTTATTCCTTCCTTCCTTCCTTGATTCTGAGCGTGCTTTTAAGGACTTTAAATTTTCTTTAGATCAAATAGCTCAGTATGCAAAAAAGAAAAAAAAAACCCATATTTTGGTGGTAACCTGCTCTGAGCCCTAACATCTCCCACTTATATTAATTGGAAGTTCTTGATTATGCTTAACCTTTGTAGAAAATTCATTTAGAGCTAGCCAAGATTCTGCTTTTTCTCATTATGTTTTGTAAATCTCCAAACTTAGGAAAAAATATCTTTAGGGAGGCAAGTCTTCTATGTGAGAAATTATTACTTTGTATATTAGATGCTAGATTTTTAAATGAGTATTTAAATATCATGTTAGCTGCCAAGTGTTGGTTTGTTTTAAAATAATTCCCAGAACTTGGGCAATTACTTCTCTGGCTATTCTTGGGAGTTCTTGGTAGGGAGCATTTTAATTCTCTATCTGTAGCTCTAGGATGCCTGTATATGAACATGCCTTTGTTCTCGGTGTTTTTCTATTTGATTGTTGTTGTATACAAGTCCTTTGTCCTTGCCTCTTTCCTCCCTTGTGTTGTAGTAGATCATTTATGCAATTAACTTTGTTTACATTGAGCAGCGGTTTTGAAGTGCGTTTGGGGGGAATAGTAGACTGAATAAGAAGATACACAGAATGTGGGATGGATGTGATTGAGGGTGAAAAAGGGAGAAGTGAAAAAAATAAACAAAAAACTGGGAGTGGGCCTGGGGAAGGAAGACAAGCAAAAGGCAAAAGAGGGGCTATGCTCTGGGGCGGGAGGGAAGGATTGTGAAATCTTGGGGGGCCAGTAGTCGAGGGAGGAAGATGAACAGACCAGCGTTTTCCCCAGGCTTGGGCTCAAGCTTGTGAAACTACTAATGTATTAAAGAACCTCAGCTGGGATTTGCTGAGGACAAATGCTGTAATGTGTTAGTCATCCATTATCTGCTTCTATTTTTGCAGGTTCTGAATGATGACTGACGCGGGTTTGGGTGATAGTCCTTACAGTCCCTGTCATTCCCGAGTGATAAGGAACTCGCACTTCTAGCCCCAGCACCAGGGCGAAGCAGCAGCTCTGGAGGGAGGCAGGCTTCCGCTGGCCGCCAGGACAGAAGTACCGCCTTCCCACGGGTTTCTGCCCGCGGCTCGTGACCAAGACACCTCGCCGGGTCCAGCTCGCGGCTTTCGCAGGCAGCCGACGTGTGGCCTCCGCAGGACGCCCGCCGCGCCCGGGCCATGAAGTAGCGGCTGCCTGTGGCGCCGCTGCCCGACCGCCGGCCCCAGCCCCGCGCTGCGCTGCCCGGTCCTCTCCCGGCGGGGCCGGAGCGGCGCGGACATGGCTGGCCGCGCGCGCAGCCTGCTAGTTCTCCTCCTGACTTTGCAAGGCAGCTGCTTGGGTTTCAGAAGCCCACTTTCTGTCTTTAAGAGGTGGGTGTGTTTGTGTTAATTTTTATTTTATTTTATTTTTTTTAACAGGCGAAATACTGTTTGGGTGGGTTTTGTGCATGCGGTTTAGAAATGTGATCACTTTTACGAACAAGGTTGATTTTTTTTCTCTATAGAAACGATTTGGAATTTTAGCCCAGCAACTTCTTGTAAAGTCTCCCTGGCGGAAAAAGCCCACTGTCTTGTAGCTGAGCTGCTGCTCTGGCTTCTAGAACTCCAATTAGAAGTTGTGATTTCCAATACTAATCACTCCCTCTTGGGGAGATATTTCAGAAAGTAGATATAGTCATTTAGACTTGAAATGCCTTCCTGTTTATAACAGCTCGAAGAATAAAATATCAACATCAGTGGTTAGGAGAAGCAGATCATGGACTGTAATCGCTCACTAAGAAACATTGAGCTGTATACACACGCCCCATAATTACCATATTAAATATTTATGTACTTGTACATTTGTAATTCACATCACAACCTTTTATTTCCTCCTCATATAACTCTGCCTTCCAGCAAGATTATGACCAGGTTTTTGTTTTTGACCTGTAACACCGGACACTCACAACATAGTTACAAAAATTTGTATTGGGTTATGGTTAATATTTGCCATTAGAAGATTGGTATGTGTATTATAATTATAATTTCTAATGTATTAATACTGTATCTTCATGAACTAGAAACAAATGTATGTGTTGACAAGTTTTTATTAAATCAAGTTTTGAATGTAGCTGCTTGGTTTCTTTGATTATATTTTGTTTATAAGTTGGTTGTATCTTGGTCATGGACTAGAAAATGTAATTCTGAGTGTCTCTGATAACATTGTATGATCATCACATCTTTAGAGAGTCTTCATTGGGCCTGTTTCAACATTATTTAACCTTAAGGTCATAGAAGTCCTTTTTTCCTCTACCCATTATGTTAAAGAATGTTGAAAATGTCTTCTTTTTCAAGGTTTAAAGAAACTACCAGACCATTTGCCAATGAGTGTCTTGGTACCACCAGACCAGTAATTCCTATTGATTCATCAGATTTTGCGTTGGATATTCGCATGCCTGGGGTCACACCTAAACAGGTGAGAGGCATTCCTTATTTAATTATTCACTTGTTCTATGTACAATCTATAATTAAAGTAAGGAAACTATATTTCCAGTGGCAGTAATTTCTGCAAAAGTAGGCGTTTGCTTCAGATCTCTTCAGATAGGACCAGAATAACTGAATATTACAAGGAGGGGTAAATTTTTCAATGTAAATCTTTCAGTTAAATTTTGTTTTTCAAATTTTACTCATATTGTTATTTGTTGTTTGAAATGGAACATTGTAAATTTGCATGCTGGGACTCTCCAAAGAGTAATGTCCTTTGTAATGCAGCATGCAAGTCTGCATTAAAACATGAAAAATTATTCCAATAAAAATGATATTGAGCAGCTGCATCTAAGAGACTATTTTGTTTAAATATTCTTCTATAGAAGCCACAAGTTGAGAAATAAAACCTTGTTAAGTGCCACAAATTTGTTTCAAAGCAAAACATTACATTCCACACTTTTAGAAGTTAGGAAAACTGTTCATACAGGTGGCTGATTGTGTTTCCTTTAGGCTGACGTGTCTGTTATAAGATATATTTTGAAGAAATAATGATAAAGCTCAGACAAATGAGTTTTATAGAGCATTTTGAGTGGAACTAAGTTGTTGTTGGGGCTATCCCTATTTCAGGTATACACAAGAAACTCTAACCCATTGCTGTCATGTGTGCAAGGTGTTTCATTAAGCAAAAAAAGGCCAGAATTAATTATGTTTTGCAGGCAGGCAGTGCAGGGATTTATGTGTGTCATTAAAAGACAGTCCTCTGCTTTTGAAGGGCTGCAGAGACCTGGATGTTGAAGAGCTGCAGTGGCTGATGACTCATTGTTGCAGATAACATTCTATGTTTCTTTTCTTTTTTCTTCTAGTATTGAGAAAATAAAAGTTTTCTACTTATTGGGAAGAATTTCTTTTAAAATTAGCATTCAGAAGCTCTAGAAAAGATGTGTGGGCCCCCATGCCTCATGGCTAAGGATTGACTTTCATTTACTTGAAAACTTGCATATGATCTATTGTCTATTTTAGTAACTACCACTGTCACAATGACTTTCACCCTCTCCCCATTCCCAAATGACCATTCGGGTGACTTTTCTGTGCATTCAGTTATTCGTGTTTGGCCTTTAATTTCATAAACTCCTTATTTGATATTTAGCCCAAGAAGAATGTGATGACATTAAAATGAGGAGAGAGAAACAACAGCCTCTCCTTTGTAAAGGGTGCCTCTTCTTGTCTCTTCTCACTCTTAAAAGTCATTTCCCCCCTTTATTTGCTTAACCTTAGCTTATATTACTTTTTTTAAAATATTTACTAATTGGTCTTTAATCTTTTCCCACAAGAATATTATTGTTTTAATCAAATAGTCATTTATTGTTGTTTGTTATTATTCTGCTATTTTTTCTTCTTATTATTTAAGAGTAATAACATTTAAATTATTTAACACCTATAATAATAATAGGCAACTCCATTGGGATTGATAATCTCAGGAAGAATTACTGGAATTGATTATAAAAATGTGGAACAGCTTCATTTTCATGAAACAAAATACATGTATTCATTTTTGTGACCTTATAATTATTAAAATAATTCCATTACAAAAGAAAATAGATTATTGAAGTTACCACTATTTACTTTGCACTATCTGTATTCAACTTTCCTTTGTGTAGTGGAAATTTGCTTGTTGCCTTCTTCAGCAAGGAGCTAGTTTTCTCCTTGCTCCTTCTCTGAGACCTTGTAACTCCCAAGAGCTATTTACTAAGGTTCCAGAGTTGGAACCAGTGGACTAGGATCAGCAAATAACTACATCTTACTTCCCTTTCCACAACGGTTGATTCAGAAAAAGGTGTGTGATCTAGATGAGTCCAATTAAAGCTCAGGACTTCTGCTGAGAAGGCATATTTCTATTGCACAAGCACAATAGGCATGTAGTTCTGGGGTCTGTTAGTGCATGAAGGAGCCATGCCTAGACTAAAACTAGTACCAGAAAAAGCAATACAGAGACTGAGAGTGTAAGTTCTTGGTTACATCACTAACAGAATTTCCAGTTACATTTTGTCTTATTTGCATATAAATCTATCTAGTAAATGATCCAGTTCCTCAGCTGGAGCAGTTCAGGACTGGTTGTTGAATATTTCTTCCACGTTCACTAAATGCTGTTCATTGATGATGTGCCATGAGGACTTAATTTTTTTTCTGGCTGACATGCAGATAATATACCTTGTAAGCTTTTGTGGGAAATGATAGACTCCCCATTAACTGTGCTCGACGGAAAGATGGATATAGAACCCCTGGCACCTCTTTCTTCCTGAACTTGGTGTTCTTGGTGAGGCAGACCTAGAGCTGTTACTGTAAATACTTTTGGTGAAAAAAAAATTATGTTTTAAGAACATTTAAGAATGCAGATAAAACTAGAGTTAACACAAGTTCTTAAAAGGAAAGGAGATTTTAAAAAATGAGAAAGGGAAAGATGATAAAATATTAGAGGGAAGAAATAAAACGGATAAGTGGAGTAAGAAGAGTTGACCAAAACAACAACAAAATAAAATGTCCAAGAAAATAAGATGGTCAAGAACAAAAATTAAGGGAAAATTTTAGGAATAACCAGAATATGAAGAACAGAATATTTTAAGAATAATATAAGAAAAAAGAGGAGTTAAGAAACATACAAAAACTAGGAAAGAAGTTGAGGAGTTAAGATGATTTTTATTTATTTATTTATATTTGTATTACAATTCTTAATACATCATTATACAATAATTTATCATATCTCTAATTATATATAAGATGATTGTTTTTAAATATTAGAGGATCCATAAGAGCAATAAAATTTGAAGAAAAAGGAGGAGTAAGAACTTCCTTTGGTAGATCAGGCAGATCAGATTGGTCAAAGAAGTGTATTCACTCAATATATTCCTTTATAAAGTACATTTTAAGTTTTGTTAATAGTGAAAGCTATATCAATACATCTGATGTAAATCCTTTCTTTGGGAAAGAGGTCTTTAGGTAAGCTTAGATTAAAAAAAAAAACAAGCAAATGTAGAGTAGAGGTGGAGAGAACTATAGACATACTACAGAGAGTACAACTAGTTCATTTTCCAGATAAAATACAATTCTAGATTAGTGTCTTATCAGAGGATATCAGTATGTCAGGCTTCCACATTAATGGATTCAGCTATATCACAGGACTTCGTAGTGGCCATTAAAAATTACTCCCACTAAACACGATTAGGTGAGTCCAGGGAAAGTAGTTTACTTTGATTACAAAATCAAAAAGGTTTTAGATATTTTAGAACTTTAATGTTCTTTACAGATTCAACATAAAATACTGGTCACAGGGGAGGTAGTATAATGCAGTGGTAGAGCATACTTAAGACCTTGGGTGCAATCCTCAGCACAAAATAATAAATAAGCAAGTAAATAAAATCAGTTAAATTTTTGACAGTAGGAAAACAATAGAGGAAAACTTCAGCAAAGACCTGGAATTCACAGATGACTCTAGTCAAAAACTATAAAGAAAACATTCAAATAAATAAAAAATAATAGTGTAGCAGAGATATTTAGTTTAACAAAGATCAAACCAAAAACCTTTCCTTCTACTTATTGAAAAGAGAGTAAAAGTGAATCATGGGACTTGTAGATATTTGTGGTAAAATAGCTTTAAAAAGGAGAGGTACGGATTAGGGGGCACAGCTATTGCTAATATGTACACAAGGTTAAAGGCTGAACATATTTGAAAGTCTCCATGCATATCATTGAGAACTCTGTTATCTGAAATATAAATGCACAAAGATGCAAACTATATGGTATTAAAAACAGTTTGCTATATAAACATTTATGTAGTGTATGAATTTAATCTCTATGAGAATGACAGTAAAATGGGTTCATTCTTTCTCTAACTTGAAAAAATTTAAAATAATTTCCATTCTCTTTATTATGAAGTTTCTGTTAATCAGTGTTTGGGGGGATTTGAGAAGATCCCACCCCTTAGTCCCTTTCCTGTACTGATCTCCCTTTAATTTCAATAAGAACCACTGCACCTTTCTTTTCCTTTTTTCCTCTCTACCTTCCTCATGAAAGAAAACAAAGATCCTTAACCTTAAACCTTATGTTAAGAGTAGTGACTTTTAAATAGTAAACAGAAGTAAAGAACTGCCATCCAATGCCATTGTCTTCAAATCTAGCAGAGCCACAGAGTGATATCTTGAGAATAGTCTTTTAGCCCTTTTTCTTCCTCATTTGATTCCCTTACTCACCTGGGATCCTGTGGACTTCTGCTCTCCCCACCTCTCACCTGAATAAATAAAGCAGTTTGATAAACTGCCAGTTCATTCATGGTCATAATAAAGTGCTATTATCAATTTGGTGAATTAACTATCCCCAGGGTGTTTATTTTGCTTTAATTAACACATATTAATTGTACAAATTGATGAACTTCATTGTGACGTTTCCACATGTGCATAGGTCATGTGACGAGCATATCCATGTCTCTTTTGCCCTCTTGTCCTCCCACTTCCTCAGCCCCCTTCTTAGTTCCTAATAGTCCCTCTTCTACTTTCAGGTCATCTTTTTATTTTATTTTAACTTATTTCTCACATGTACGAGAAAATATTTGAGACTTTTTTTTTTCTACGTCTGGTTTATTTTGCTTAACATGATGTCTTCCAGTGCTGTCCGTTTTCCTACAAGTGACAGGACTTTTTCTTCTTTATGGCTGAATAACATTCCTTTGTGTATATTTTCCTTATTCATCTGTTGACAGGGTATCTATGCTGATTCCTATCTTGGCTGTTATGAATAGTACTGCAATAAACATGGGCATACAGCTATCAAGAGTGGGATAGCTGGATCACATAATAGTTCTATTTTTAGTTTTTCTCCACCTCATCACCAGCATTTTAAAATAAAATAAATGAATGCTTAATTACAGTGATTTTATATAAAGTTTCTTGTCTAACTGTAAATCAAACATAGGGCCAGGCTGACGGCATCCTTGTCCTT